AAGTTTGGTCTTCAAAGATATATAATTCTATTAAACGATCCCCTGAGCGGAGGAAAATTTTTACTCGATTGCGTATTTCGTGAAATAGACCGAGAATTGAACAAGGTAGTTACCAAGGTACTACCCGACCAATCAGAGTATATTTCAGGTAAACTTCAAATGAAATTGATGATGAACGATATACTTTTGTTTATTTTCGTGCACATTGTCTCAAAATAAGAGAAACTGCGTGTATTCCAAAATTAACTAGCTCTGTCCCAACTTTCTGCACTTGATTTCTAGCCTAGAAACTGATATGGTTACTTAATGTAGATAAAGTTGATATATTGATATCTGATTTTGATTGATGAAGGCAAAATATATAGATATAACTTCTCTGCACTAGTCACATTTGAAAAGTACACCATTCGCACCAATTTAAAACAGAAAAATGTCAGTTTCGTAACAAATGCCAACTCTAACAGGCTGAAAAAAAGGAAAAAATATAGTTTATATATAAAAGCTAATGATAATCAAATATATATCTGCAATATTAAAATAAAACCTTGTCACGAGGAAAGGTGTCATTGCAATAAAAGCAATGTGACACAGATAGAAATCCTGAGCGCAAGGAATTCTTATCAACCACATTTGTCGAATCGGCTTCAAGTTATTTCATTATAGACCTCAATGGGTTCTTAAACGAACTACAAAATTGACTAAAGCCAAAAAAATAATAATATACAATTAAAAACCAATTGTTCAGAGAACAATTGAAGATCTTTCCACCCGAAACGATATATTTTGATATGAAAATCTTAATATCTGGTTTAAAATGTCATTTTTAGTGTCAAATGATAGCTTATTGTACGCCGATCCTAAAAATATATGGTTTCTATACACTTTTGTTTGAAATATGGGAGATAATTTGTTACTTTCGGATTGAAAAATGTCGTTTCCGGTATTATTTGATAGTTTACTTGACACTGATTCCTAAAATATATGGTTCTATATACTTTTACATTAAATAAGTACAAGAAAATAAATTCTTCCGGTTTATACAAGGTCACTTTTGGTTGGCTTTTTCAAGGTCATATGGCTTGCAACCTAATGCACAAAGTCTTATGGCGTTATCATGTATACATAAGAAGTTAAAGCAAAGGTCAAAATCTAGAACGTCACATTTACCTATTAACTTGACCTAAATTTCAAGGTCATAAACTAAGGACCTCAAATCAAACGACCCTAGGTCTTTATTATATATGGTTAATGAGTTATATCATTATACGCGTTAACTCCCATTAAATGTCAACGTACCCTTTCAACCAAAATGTATGTGTTACGACATGTCGCAACTAACAATTTAATTAAAATATGTTGTCAATATCTTATACGGTTTTTGAAAAGAAGTGAAAATAAGCCAAAATCAATTTAGAATATGACCTTGATCTTTGACCTTGACCTTATTTTCTTTTGTTGAACCAAGGACCTCAAATCTAAAGACCCTAGGTTCTATCACTTATGGTTTACCAGTAACAAATGCCTAACACTTAAAACAAATGCATTAGGGGAAATAGCTCTCATATGGAGTCTCCGGAAAGCTTCGGTCAAAACCAAACTCAACATCCTGAAGATATAGCGAGCAATTTGGTAAAATAAATTTGTCGGTTTCTTTTACGGTTGAGAAGGAGTAGTGGCCACAAGAAAAACAGTGTTTGGGGAGATAAATCTTACAAGTAAAAGTGTTCGGTTAAACAGGGTCAGTTTTAAAAGCGTATAAACTGTTCGATATCATATACCAAATATCAAAGCGACATCTTGTCAAACAATAATACTGTGCAAGAAAAAAAATTAGGCGGAAGAAAGAAAAAATAATCAGAACAAAAGCAAAAGGTCTTTCCACGGAAAAGTGGAAAGACCTAATAATTCATCATTTGCCACCTGCTTAAGGTAGAATAGTCCATTGTCTTTTTTTCTTACTGAACTGTCTGTAAGTTTGATTGGTCAAGTCATGGTTGGTTAGTGTGATTAATTTATTTTTTCAGTATCTCTATGTATCTCATGTTTGTACGGTTAAACTTGTTTTATAAAGCGAGTACTGAACTGTTTATTTGGAACCTCTGCTACAATGGCAGATGAAGATGTCAGCCTCAATACTTAAAACACTTCATAAAGTAAGCTTGTGATCTAGTGACTTATACTTGCTTATATTCACGTCATATGTATTTCGGTTGATTGTTGTCTCATTGGCAATCATACCACATCTCATTTAATATTTCCATATAGTGCAATGGTATGTGTTCATATGCTCGAATATCTACAGTCCTTACAAGTTATAAACGTATTTGTATTAGGTGGTTTATTTAGCGACATCCTATAGATATAGAACAAATAGTCTTCATTATTAACAATAAGAGTTAACTTGTGTCTTTGCAGGGGAGAACATTTATTCTATCGTCTTTAGCTCAAAGATCATCTTTTGTTTCCCTCAATTCAATAAGTAATAATGCTGTTATTTCTCAAATCGTTATAAGTCAACAGTTTTAGGTCGACAGTCTTGTTCCCACTTTCTGATTCTTTGTTCTTCAAGATATGTCTTTTCTAATAACTGAATAATGATATATTGTAATGGTGATAGAAGGGGAAAAAACTTATACTTCAAATAACTCTCAGACTTAAAACACGCAGACAGTATTGGCGGAAAGTCGTCAGAAAGAATAGTTAAAAAAACCTATGAATAAAAGAATCAATTTGCTAGATGAAATAGATTTTTTTATCTCCTTTTCTTTTTATCTTAACTGTATTGATAAAAGCATAACTAGACCGAAATTATGTAATATAGAATTTAGGAGAAAAAACAGCTGTACTTTTATAATGAAAGGAAGTTCTATGCATCCCCATGCTTCGCTTTTTAAGTTCTACTTCTATATTTACTTTTGACAACGTTTATTTTTCTCCCCTGTAATAATATAGAATCTTCTAATACAATCCATATTTTCCTACAGTACATGTTCGTACGCATCTGTAACGATAATTATTAAATTCTTTTGATATTTGAGAAAATCTCTATCGCCAATGACTTTTTACACTGCATTGAAATTTTATATTATAAATATGCACCACGAAAAATAATAATTGTTCGACTTCAACATAAAGCTTCCATTGTATGCTGTTACATAATTGGTGAATGTTTTATGTCGGGCTGGTATTTTCACACGTATGCTATTTGTAACTGTTTAGTCTGTTCGACGTGTTATTGTTATTCAATGATTGGCAACTCTCCAATCCATGATATATATTGTAGTAAATACGTTTGTAGGTCACAATTTGTAGTAAACACTGTATGCGATTAGACAATCGATAAAACCTGCCGGTAACATTGTAAAGATTTTAGTTTACGTCTGCTACTATATTTAACCATTTACAAAGGACTTGCACATAAAATGTGAGTATTACAATTTCAAAAGTTGTACTCCTCGACAAATAATGTTGGATATTTCAATTTTTAGATTTCAAAGGTATGATATGATGGAATGGGTAATTTACTTTAAACTGTCTGGTCTGTGCATATAAGATAATTCTGATAAAATTGTCATATTCTCTAACTCTCAAAGTATTTATTGCATTAGTCCTCTTTGTAATAATTATGGAGTGCATTCTATAGAAATGGTTTCAAAAACAAATTACAAATAAATTTCATATTATTCTTTTAGTTATGTACTAAAATTTGATGAAATGAACAGCCCTTAAATACTTTCAATGTGAGTTTTCAAAAAGAAAGGCCATTGTATACAGAAAGACATGAAAACAGGCAAGCTGAGTGAAACTACTTTTCTGCATATTTTGGGGGTGTCGGTCGCTGTATAACCAAGGGAGTTTGTCAAAATTTATATGTATAGATCACTGTGGCCTTTTATCAAAACGGTAAGATGTTCAAAATTTACTCATTTGTAAATTTGAAATATTTCATATGTTCGTCATGATTCACCCGCTTTCCTTGGAAACTTAGATTACAGCTTTGAAGAAATCCTATTTACCATTAATTTTCTTTGTTTGCTTTGTTTACTTTGTGGACAATGGGATAGAAAGTGTCTAATAGATATAGGAAGATGTGGTATGAGTGCCAATGAGACAACTCTCCATCCAAGTTACAATTTATAAAAGTAAACCATTATAGGTCAATTTACGGCCTTCAACACGGATCATTGGCTCACACCGAACAGCAAGCTATAAAGGGCCCCAAAACATTACTAGTGTAAAACCATTCAAACGGAAAAACCAACGGTCTAATCTATATAAAAACGAGAAACGAGAAACACGTATGAACTATATAAACAGACGTAAACAGGTTGGTACTTATTATACATACCATTCCAGCAGTTGTATTTATAGTAAATATAAGGGGCATTTGGCTTTAAAAAAACATAGTTAATCTCCGAATTCTTGATTTCAAATTCTATCTCTTTAATTCTTGATTACAAAGTCTATTCTCTTTAATTATATTGCAAATTCAGTTTCCTTACCCTATATTATAAATAAAAAGGATAAAAAGACTCACAAATATAACTGGACAGTACACCAGATCATATCAACCCCCAACACCTGAATCCTAGTGAAAAAATAGGTGCACAGACAAATACAACAAACAACACATGGTCTAGATAGCCCGACTAGGTGCAGGCATCAAACATGGTTACATGGTTCTTACTTTATTGCCGAGCGTGAAACACAAAATACATATCTTCGCTGAATCAAAGTTGATTTTTATGCTAAAATATATATTTTCTAGTACATTCAAATATACATAATATGTTATTCTATGGAATATACCAATGACACATTTATTTAAAGTCATTCCGTTTATCTTTCGGAGTTTTATTTAGTCGATTTATCGTAGTTTAATTTAATTCTAGCGTATTCTTTAAAGTCGTGTAAATGTAGAATTTCGATCGACAGTGTGCATGAGGTGTAGAATAGTTGACTAATTAATGGCGCAATCGATACAACGGTTCACAGAGTTACTTATGCAAATGTTGATCATAGATGTAACACTTCCTTGAGTACAGGTGCGATGCCCCACCCCTTCACCCCGCCCCGTCATGTGATTTAACAAATAACATAAATATCTTGTAACTTGTATTTAGTTGCAATATGGTTTTTCTTACATGTGAAAAATTGAGTAAACTTTTAACATGAATGAATGAAGAAATGAGAGAAAAAATATCGGATTTCATTTGGATATGGATATTTATTCTTCAACCCATTGTTGAAGGTAAGAATTTATTATTAGTATAAATATTGACTTCGTATACCAAATCTGTATTGAAACTTCTCTGAAATAATGTAAAAGGGCAATCTAAAAAAATTGTCAATGAGAACTCAAATAAAAACAACTTTTTTGAAATGTAAAAAAAAAAAATATTTCAGATTGATTTATACGAGAATAAGGCTGATTTACTAAAAAATGATTGACTAAAAAATTTAATCTATAAATTGGAGTTTTAATATATATTTATTGCGGATATAGGTAGTTAACTGTAGCGTATTTCAGTAGTAAAAACGAAATCCTGTTTGATTGTATTTTGACTTGATCAGGGACAACCAGACCATATCGTAAAACTATTTTCCCAAATTTAGCATTAATCACATGCATCATTCATCAAAACTTTACTTTAATGTTTATAAATGCAGAAAAATCAATTAGTAATTCTATATTTGAATCTTTAATGTAAGGAATAGTACACGACAATTTATGACATTAGAATTAGGTCTAAGTTTACCTGTACCAGGGTAAGAATGTGTAAGTATAGTTTCAGGTTTCTGAAAGTTGTTTAGTATGTATATAAGTCGGTGTAGGGTTAGGAAGTGTCTTGTCAATTTTCGTGTAAAAAAAGGAAGTATGAGGTTACCCATAGAATCAAACGAAACTCTGAAATGACGTTTATTTCGTCGATTGTTTTTGGTATCAGATCTGTAAATGAATTTAACACAAGAAGCATATAACAGGAAGGGGAACAAACCGACATTCCAATCAGCATGAAAATACAGATATTGTTAGATTGAAATTCGCTATTATAAAAAATGTTGAGATCATTTCAAATCATGGAATATATCTCCCTCATGCAAAGCTCTGATTCCTTGTTCTGGATTTGGCTATACTTTATAGGCCCTTTTTGTTTTGATCAGCTCTTCGAACGTTTTTATTAGGTTTTGGATTTTCAAATATTTCGGCCTCGGGCATCACTGAAGAGACATTAATTGTCGTGCGCATCTGGTGCATACATATTGGTTATTTTTTCTCAATACTTTGTATTTCAATGTCGGCTTTGTCACCAATAATAGCAGTTATTTCAAAATGTAGGTAAAACAGTGTAGCTTCAATTTAAGTTGTAAAATACGGTCCATATTCACTTTAAATAAGAAGGTGGAAAGCATATGTTTCGTACGAAAGTCCGTTCAGTATCGGACGGGTTATTGGCTGTCACGCGTTGGTGCTCTACACTCCCTGATAGAAGGCTTGCTTTAAAGGGTCTATACGTGACTTATAAGCGAGGAAATTTTCTGTTTCTATCTAACATACCCTCTATTTCCTTTGGCAGTCTAAATTTCCCGCCCTTCACTTAAAGAACCTCCCTTATTGTTGTATTGGATTTTTTTTCTGTCTTGGATATCAATTATATAATGACAGCTGGACGTTAGGCAAACAGCAGTCATTCATGTTTTTTTCATACTGTACTAATTATTGAAGGTTACGTGATATGCTTTACTATTTATCAAACAATTAATTCAAAGATTGAGTGCAGATTTGATATAAATTTGTATTATATATCAGAGATTCAACCACAAATCAAAACCCCTTTAATAAAAAGCACTTCCTCAAACTATAAATAAAGTAACTTCTCTCATTCGACATGTATAGATTTCATGCATGGTTTCATGTATAACATAATACTAGCCTTTATTTTAGTAAAAAAAAAACGCATGGGAGAGGCGGTGCTCCTACTTTTGTGGAGAAAATTCGATAAAAACTACAGTGTCTAAGAAAACATCAATAAAAAACCGTATTATCTAGGTGAAACTCGATAAAAATCGTACTGTGTATGGGAAACTCAATAATACCATGCCTTGCTTGAATGTAAAAATAAACCTTGTCAGTACACCTTTACAATGACGATAAACCAAGAGAATGTTAAAGCTGGAGTGCTTGGTCTTCGACGAGCAATATAATAACTGGCTCTCAACGTAATCAGCTAGAACCGATATTCGTTGTTTGTAAGCAATTTATTTTCTTTTAATGCCTTGTTTTTGTTCAGAAAGTAAACATGGTTGTTTTTTATTGCGGAAGTAGAGATGAATGGTTAGTTTTGAAAGATCCAAGACTTTCATTAATTTAAATACACTGCTTGTGTGTTCTTATCAAACACACCTTGCTAGAATTTTATTAAAATCTAAAAAGAAATCGCGTATATGGAGTCATGGTAATGCATATTTTAGCAATAAAAGTGAAACGCTTACATTCATATAATCATGTCTATCATGAGGAGTGGCCATCTCTTCATTAGCCTTAATAATAGTATGTTAATAAACAAAATAACATAATTATACTAATTCGGTCGGTTTCGCACTTTTCCGAGAATGCTGTGTTTTAAAAAGCTTGCTATAGTTTTAAAAAAAAATCGGGATCATCCGAACACTCCACCATGTAAAAATTATACATGCAAAAACTGTTATAGATATTCCTTGGGAGTTTTCAAACAGTACGAAAAGGCTCAATTTAGGCCATAAGCGGCCATTTAACAATATAGGCCACTCTTGACAATGCTACGGGATATTATTACTCCTAGTACAGAATCTCGTCACACCGTTTCACAATGCAACAATGCAATCGCAAGATTAAAGTTTGTACTTGTTTACAAACAGTTATACGCATGCAAGTATTATGACCGATTTACCAATTGAACCGAACTTGGTTTAAAAAAAAAATCCACTGTGCTCGAAAAAAAAGACGATGATTTTCGTTACACAATGATGTCATTAGTATACGTATTATTCCTTGTTTTATATTATATATCTAGGAAGTACAAAATAAAAATATGACAGGTTACAAAACACCAGAAAACACCAGCTAATGAGGAAATAATTGAGAATTTGTCAATCAGTTGTAATTATGTGTTTTTATCAATAAAAAAGTTAATGTTATACAATAGTATTCTAGAATAGCGTCAAAACTGGAAGGATTTTAACTGTTTGTCATGCTTATAAAACAGTTTTTCTCCGACTCTTTTGTATAATGTAATTGGGGAAAGAACCATCGTAAATGTGGTATTGTCCATTCAATGAGTCTTACTTTATAATGTTAAAGGCTTTAAAAATCATTCAAACCATTTTTTTTTATTAAGATACATTTTATTTTATTGTGTTATTTATTGCGCGAAGGTCTGCAAATTATTTGCTCTAGTAGACAAGTAAATGCATTTCGATACAGACCATGCACGTTTATGAAAATGCTTTACGAATTTTTAGATTTCGATCTATCTTTTAATCATTAAAATAAGGATTTACATACGGCAATTACATAGATTGTGATAGATTAAATTGAATACCGTAAGCAATCATTAATTAAGACTTAGTACTTTAGAGTTTTTGAGTCAATGAGTTTAGCATTTGACGGTTTGGTAGTATTGATTGAATGGTTGCGGATTGCTTACTACATTAACCATAACTAGAGGTGTATTCACAAGGGTGACTTGGGGATAGAAGTATGGTCATTTTTTGTCTTCTTCCGACCGGCCGTAAAACCCTTGCCAAAGAGGGGCATTCTTTTTGGTTGTACAAGATGTAAAACTCTTAGCCACGTCCGGTCGGAATTAGGACGTTAAATCCGATGCCTTGTGTAGAGAGAGTGTCACACTGTCTGAACCCATGCAAAACCTCTTTGAGGGGTTCGTATGTGGCCTAATGCAAGGCTAAATTTCTATCCCCACTGTAACCTCTTTTTCCGGTGGTATTCAAAATTTGGCTTCCGGTATTCCGTAACACCCCTATTGCATTTATTATTAACTTGTTCTCGTCCTGAACATGCATGAAATATTTCCCCCTGGGTGATAAGCAAACAACAATCAATCAACTGACGAAAAACTTATAGTCATGACCAACTGCTTCTTTTTCCGTATCTCGGTTTATATTTGATTTGACCATGAAAAAAACCTCATCATTGTGTAAATGACTTTTCTTTGAATTATTGAATCAGTTTCTTTGCGGGGGCCTCGGTGGACAAGTGATCTAAGTATTTCATTCACAATATCACTTCCCTGTTACTCTGAGGTTGTGAGTTGAAACCTCGATTATGACAGGTGCGTTCGATTCTAATCTTAATTGACTAGGATTGTCAGTTTGCTGCCAAAGATCGATGGTTCTCTCCAGACACTCAGACTTCCTTCACCTATAGCCAAGAGTGTTAAAAATGGCGTTAAACACTAACAATCCATCAATGTTTCTTTGTGAATATTTAAGTTCTTTTGTTCATGCAATGCAGTAAATTGGTAGGAAGGATTTTGCAACCGTAAACTACTTATAAATCATTGCTTTTCCTTTATTGATTTAAAAGTCATACGGTTGCAGACGTTTTATGAAAAGTGACATTCAGGACTATATATTGCCTATGAAAACTTCCTTGATGATGTCAAAATGGCACAGGGCGCGATTGGGGCCTAATTTGCCTAAATTTGGAAAACTAATTTGATTTTTATTTGCTGAACGTCCAGTGACTAATATTTCATTCACTGTCATGTTCAATTCGAGAACAAATTATTGTTAAAAACTAATCGGTAGGTATGGCAACGTGGGCTGATTAAACTAAAGGGTGGGGAAATTCGATTGCCACTCCGAAAAGGGATATATTGGATAGGACAGAAAGTTTGTGTTGCAACAGGCAACCTACGGACCTCACAAAGAGTTGTAGCAAAAATGAAAATAGCACTTTATAAATTTGATGCGTCTAAAGAACTTTTTGTATTAACCTTCATCAGTAACTGTCTAACACAAAACTTGCAAAAGCCAAAGATGTTTAAGTACTTGCGTACATGGGCGACCAAAAGGAACTTACAAAGAATAGTAGTCAAATTCGTCTTAGTTCAACGTTGCCTGAGGGAGTTTGGAATCTTAGTTTCTTACTGACTTCAAACTGAGCTGTTGATTCCAACGTGAACTAACAGTCTACCGTCAGTCTTATCATACCAGTGCTAGAGAATGAAAATAACACAATAATTTATG